TTCCGGTTTCCTGACGTTCTCGACGGTCCTCGGCGGCTTTTCGACCTCTGGAGGCTGTCCGGCAGCTGCGCCTCGCCGAGAGCTTTCCCGGGGTGCCCGGTTCGTCCCGGACGGCCGCCGGAGGCCTGAGCTATGAACTGAAAACCGCCAGCGCCTCCTCCTGGTTCGCCCGCCACTCGGCGGCGCTCACACTTGGGGCTGGCGCGAGGGGATTGGGGTTTCCGAGAAGGCGACGCGGCTTCGGAGGAGTCAGGGCAGCTTGGAAGCCCGCCCGGCTCCTAAGAGGCCTTCCACGAAGCCTCCAAGGTCTCCTCAACATGCCCTTGGCGTTCAAGAAGCCCCGCCGCCTCTCGGAAGCCCACCCCCGTCGCGCCACCCCCTAGCGGGCGCCGCCACCCCCCCCGCCCTCCCCCACCTCGTCTCGTTCTGGAAAAATCGCGACGGAAGATCGTTGGCCATTTTCGGCCTCCAGGGGCCGCAGCGGCGGCCTGCGGATAGGCGGCGGCAGGGGGTAGGCGAGAGCCACGAGGATGGGGAGGAGGAGGGTTATCCTTTTCCTCCTCCTCCTCCTCCTCCTCCTCCTCCTCCTCCTCCTCCTCCCCCTCCTCCTCCTCCTCCCCCTCCTCCTCCAGCCACGGACAGGGAAGGAGCCTGGACTTGTGCGGGGCCGACGCCAGGAAGAAGCCACGACGTCGTCGATGTGGGCGTCCCCTTGCGGCACCCCTGTCCCGGTGGCCGCGCTGGCCCGGGCCAGCGGCAGACCCAGGCCGCTCGGGCCCTGCGGGGTCCTGCACGGTCCTGCGGGATCCTGCGCGCCAGCCCAAGTCGGTGAACCCCCGCCTCTGCTGACCAGCCTGGAACACATCCCTGTCCTATGCTGGGCACCTCCTCGTCACGATGCCAATCTTGGGGATGCCCTTATTTTTTTGGGGCGGATCCCTAAGATTGTCATCGCCTTTTGGCGTGTCATTCCTGGGGATAGGGATACGTTCGAGGCCAGCTTTCGAGGTTAGTAATCTGCCACGGCGCTCTGGCTGACCCCTGCTTGCATGGACCCCCGTCTCGTACAGCTCGATGGTTGCCCCGTGGGTATGACCAGAGGCCCCCAGACCCTCCTCGCTCGCTGAGAGCGGGTATACCCAGGTTCCCAGACATCCTCTGGGGCGCCCTGTTGATTCCAACAGTCCAACCGTTCTTTCTGTCCCTTCGTCCACGGGGAAACGCCGGCGGAAGCCCCACCTGTGTTCCGCGCCTTCACCTTCAAGACCTTCAAGACTTCAGGACGTGTGCCATGCAGCAGAGAGCTATTGCACAAAAGACCTGCAGGGAGCTCCGCACCCTGGAAGGTGAAAGTGGGGGTCGGGCGCAGGGTCCCGGCCATGATGTCCTTATGGGCCATGCATGGGCAATACATCCTCGATTGCTGTGTTCGGCGGGGGAACCAATTGAAGCCCCCCGCCTGCACCCATGCGCGAGACTTGAAGGTTAACAAAGCAGGGGCGGGGGGCTCGGGAAAGGCGACGAAGGCAACGTGCGCTGAGGGCGTCCAAAAAAAAGTTTGAATAAACGAAAGCGGTGAGGTGAGTGTCAGAATCTGCCCAGTCACTCTGACATGCGGAACACTGCGTCTCAGTTTGGGGGATATTGAAGGCCAGGGCAAAATGTGAATTCACATTGTGGCGAAAACCCATTCACAGTTTGGGACAAGAAACATGTGAATTCACATTTTGTGGAAAAGGAATATGTGAATCACATGGTGGACATTTGTGTAGGAATAGTTGCGCAGGGGCCAGAATGTGAATTCACATGTTGGGAAAAAAGGGCAAATGTAAATTCACATGTTGGGAAAAAAGGGCAAATGTGAGTTCACATGTTGGGAGAATCGCGGGGCCCATTCCAAATCAGTCTTGGGCGTCGACAAGTCCTCGTTTGGGAACATACGCGATAATCAATCGCACAATCAAGACACACTTGCACTCCACTTCGCCAACCCACACACAATATGCCAGAACGCCCGCATGCATGAACGATGATGGATGGACGGCGCGTTTGCCCGCGCGGGCAACCCGCGGGCACGAACGACTGGCCCTCCATGACCGCCAACATCGGATGCCAATCGTACCCGATCACATATATGAGCGATACATTGAGCATACATGGGCCATTTAGCTCCCATTGAAGACAATCTGTTGCAGACACCCTCTTTCACCCTCCAAGCTCCCCTGCCGGCCTTCCGCCTCCAGCCGCGTCCGCTGCACGTCCAGCCTCTGGCCTCCCGCGGCCGTCTGCTGAGGGCCGCGGCTTCCAGGCGCTGCCCTCCCGGGGCCGGTCTGGCCAGACCGATATCGCGCGCTCGCCTCGCCTCTCCCCTCCTTCCAGGTCGGGAGCGGCCAAGAAGGGGGTGTCCAAGAGGGGGGGGTGCAAATCATGACCGGCGGCATGTGCGCGGCCCAGCGGGGGGGCCAGGGACGTAATGAAATAAGAAGAAGCGCCATGAAATCTGGGGAGATATCATGGCACCCGCCATGATATCCACCCGCCCCTAGTCACCCCCCCCCCTTTTTGCCGCCCCCGATCCAGGCCAGACACAACCATGCTCGCATCGCACAGCAGCCAAAAGTCACGCCGGGCCCCAAGACTGGCAGCAGAACGGCTCGCCACGAGGAGCCGGCCGGCCCCAGAAAAAGGGTCTCCGGCCTGCCGCGGGCCCCGCATGGAAGAGAGCGGGATATCGCATGCCTCGGGTGCATGTGCTCCCTGCCCCCGCCCCCAGTTTCGGGTCAGGCGAAAGGGGGGGGTAGCAAAGGGGGGGTTTGAGAATCAGCTCGCGTAACTGATTTTCCCGGCGCCTCCCGGCGCCGGAGGCGGCCATGTATCGAGGAATGGGCCCCTCGGTGAGGCCGAAACCAGCTGCATGCAGCAAATTTCGTAACCCCCCCTTTCCCAATCCCCCCCCTTCCGTCCGGCCCGACAGTTGTGTGACTGGCCTGGCCTCCCTCGGACCGAGGCAGCTCTGTGCCCCGCCCCGAGGGGGCGACTGCGCGGCCGGCCCTCCCCTCTCCCTCCTCGCCCATCGCCGCACGCCCTCCCCGTATACGCCTGCCTGCGGCCCCTCCTCGAGGAAGGAACAGCTGCGCCCGCAAGCTTGCTCGACGGTCCGCGCAGATTTCCTGGAGCGGCGCTGGCACCCCCCTGTCTGACCAGGGGCCTGCGCCGGAGGCGCCGACAGGGAGGGCCCGGCGTCGATCCAAGGAGTCCGCGCGGAGCTCCGAAAGGTTATCTGTATGCAATTCTCTGCTCTTGGGCCTCAGTTTTCTTCCGTCGCTGCCTCTTCCACCCCCGACTCCCTCCCATCCCCCCTCCCCGCGGCCACCACGGGCCGGTGCCAAGTCCACTCGGCGTCCAGCGTCACAACGTCGCAGGCGTCGCAGTTGTGGCGCAGGCGCCGAAGGGCCCTCCCAGGAGAGGGAGCACAGGGGGAAGAGTCGAGGAGACGCAAAATTCGGGTTCTGGGAACTCGGGTTGGCTTGACGGTGCCGTGGAGAAAATGACGAGACCCAATCTGAGATCTGACGCGAACTCCCGTTGCAAACATCCCACGAAAACTGGACCGTCAAAATCCTGGATGGGCCGTCAAAAAGCATCGGCAAGCCCGAGTTCAGCAGAACTCGAGTCTTACGTTTCGAGAAAAAGAAAAGAGGCGACACGCGTCTGCGGTGCTCCTCCGCTTGGCCCTCTGCTGGCGGTGGGAATGAAATCTGAGCGCAGCGCGTGCGCCACAGCCCGCCCGCTCGACCGGGCGTTCGGTCGAACACGTCCGATGAGTTCTCCGAACGCCCACGGCATACATCGAGGAACACAGAATTGCGTAACAAGAAAATGCCGCAGGCCCGCGCGGATGTCTTGGCGCTGGAGGCGCCACCGGGGGGCGCAAGGGCCGATCCGAGAATCCGCGCGGACCTCCGAAAATGTGGGCCTGTTCCCCAGACAGGACCTGCACTGAGGGGTTCTGACTTCTGCACCCAAAACTGTGCCGTGTCTCCGGTCTGGCGGCTGTGGCCGCTGTCGCCACCCCGTCGCCGCCTCATCACCGCCCGCCGTCTGGGCCGTGTCTTCGGGCTTGCGGCTGTGTGGCCGCCGTTGCCGCCCCGTTGACGCCTCGTCGCCGCCCGTCGTCTGGGCCGTGTCTTCGCCGCCGCCGCCCCGTCGCCGCCTCATACATTGAGCACCATATAGATTGCACTTATAGGTTGCACAACATATTCTGCACAACATCGATTGCACAACAAAGGTTCAACACCATGTGCTGCACCAAATAGATGGAGCAACACAGACTGTACAACAATCTACAATACGCTCCTGGAAGGGCCGAGACCCCCAAAGACGCTGGCGGCCGGGGCGAAGTCACAAAAAAGATGCCGAGGGTGCTCTTCCCCTCCAGGGGCCTCACGCTCAATGCGCATTTTCTGAAATCCGGAACGAAATCATCCCCAAAACGATTCGAATTCTATGAAAAGTCTCAGGTCGGACCCTTGGAGCCCAAGAAGACCCAAAGGTTGACTCGGAGACCTAGAAGCACGAAGCACTCGACTGCGCGCGCGGGCCCAACGGGTTCTGGAGTATCCATCGCAGGGCGCTGAGGGCCAGACCGCCATCACAACTCCAGACGCTGCCCATGCTTGAAGAACGTGCCGCACCTCGGGAATCATATTGGAAAAAAAGATGTTTATCTTGGTCGGCGGGGCGGGAGCGAACCTCATCCGCTAAAAGCTAGGCGGGCTACGCACAGCTTTCATTGCGGAGACAGGGCACAGACGGGCGGGGGCCTCAGGCGGCCAGAGCGGGCGGGGCCCGGGGTCATATCGAAAACACACACACACACACACTTCCCGTTTCAAATCCCACTCAATCACGGTGTCGCCCCGCGTTCTCAGATGCTTGCTGAACTCACGGGGGTCTGAGAAAACCTCCACGGCCACGCGACTCTGGCGACCTCGAGCAGCCTTCAGCTCGCCGCCAAGCACTTCGCGAAGGCGCGCTCGACACCAGCCACTGCGAGGCGAAGCTAGAGCACGCGCGCCGCGCCAAGCTTCTGAAGCCACTGGCCAAGCCGCCCGCGCTTCTCGGCGTGGACGACGCCCCAGAAGGTGCGACACCCGCTTCGTTGCTGCGCGGCCGCCAATGGCCCGGAACCCATGCCCCCACCGTGGCCGGCGCCGCCTCGGCGGCGGGAATAAAGGGCGCCCCACGGCACGCCCGCCCCAACGTCGCTCAAAACTGTCTCGAAGCTCGCGGCGAGGCCCGCGTGCCCGAGCTCGAGGAGCCGCCCGCCCGAGCCTCGGCGGCGTGCCAGCGCCTCCACGCAGCGGGCTAGTCAGCACTGCCTGCTAAAGTCCAGGGGGGCGCCGATGTCGAACGCGTTCGTCCTGGACGGCATCGGCGCCTCCTGGGCCCGGGCGAGGAAGGCCACCCACCTCGCAGCACCCGGCTTTCCAAATATGGGGCAGCGCCACGCGGTCCGCACCCGGCGCTAACAGCTCTGACGAGCGCAGGTAATTCTCAAGCATAATCGCGACCCCCAGCGCGGCCGCATCCTGGCTGGCCATCGCAGCATTAGCGCAGCCGCCGCCACCGCCAGCAAAGGCAGCGACGGGCGAGACAGCTCGGGCCTCTGCCGCGCCCGGCCCTTCAGCGACTGGCGCGGAACGGGGGGCGCGACGCGCGGCGACCCCTGCCCCGGGCGCGGGTCGCCCAATAGCTGCGCTAGGTCATCTCTCTTGGCCGTCGCGCCCGACGCGCCCCCGTCGAATAACCTCTCCACAAAATCCACCCCCACCCAGCGCCAGTCGTCGCGCGACCACGCTGAGAGGAAGGCCTGGTGGAAGCAGACGAGCAAGGCCTTCAGCACGCCCACGTAGATGCTCTGCGTCTTCACCAGCAACTTCGTTTCCGCGGCCGGCCGCGTCTGCCCCGGGCAGGGCTCCCGCCGCTCGCCCCCCGCCTGCGCCCGCAACTCCTCGCGGTCGGGCGGAACGCGCCGCCCGCGCTCTCCGCGCGTCGCTTCGCGGCCCAGCGCCAGCACCCCCGCGCCCCTGCCGGGCGCGTCCCGCGCCGAAGCCCGGCCCAACCCATGGCGCCGCGCAGAGCGCGAGCAGATGGATCCCTCGGCGGCTCGGCCTGCAGTCGAACTGCAGCGGGCGAGAGGCGCCGGCGGCCGAGCAGTCAGCGCCCGCCCCTCCACGCCGCCCATCGGCGGTTGCAGGGCGCGGGGCGGCACCGCGCCTCGACTTGAGCCCAGATTGCTGGCGCCGCCGTGCGGGGCCCCTTCCCGACGGCGCCCGCCGGCTGCGCGCGCGGATGTCAGCCGCGGCGCCGAGAGCAAAGACGGCCAAACATACAATAAGAAGACGACGATGCGACGCTCTTCCTGGCGCCAAAGAACGCAGAGATGTCGTCGCCCGGGGCAGCGCGATGCAGGCCGCGCCTCTGGGGGCGCTCGGCGACGCGCCGAGTGGCCCAACGAACCGACGCCGCCGCGAAGCGACGAATCGCCCCGCGACGTCGCCAACGGCCGCAGCCCGCGACGCGACGCCCTGAGCCCGCCAGCGCCGCCGAGCCCACGTCAGGAAACTCCCAGACTCGACCTGCCAGCGCCGGCGCGGCATCGGGCGCCCGGGCGATCTCGGCCATCAGCGCTCGGCCCCGAGGATCACCAGCAGCGGCCAGCGGCCCTCGGCAGCGGGGCCTCTCAGAAAGCCTGCCGCGCGCCAGCGCGCCAGCAGGCGCCCGCTGTCTAAACGACGCCGCGCCCCCGCGACGAGGCGTCGAAGGCGGCGGCGGCAGGCGGCCACTTCCAGCCCATGTCGCCGACGACGTGGGGCAGCAAGGAGCGGGCCTAGGTCAGCTCGTTTCGCCCGCTGCCCCACAGGGGCTGGCGCTTGAGCTTCGACATCTCGGCGAAGGTGCACCTGGCTGCCAGCGCGGACAACGACTCTCGCGGCTGCGCGCAGGCGGCGGCGACATGCCCCTGCACCCGCTCGAGCCCATGGCCCGTGACCTTGACTGGCCAGGCCGGGCTCTGGTCAAGAAGATCATATAAGGCGATCCTCATGAAGCGCCCAGGGCGAATCCACCATCTGCCAATGCACCAACCCAGCTCGCAGCCCAGAAGCTCGGCCTTCTCGCCCGAGGTGACCTCGACCGCGCTGGCTACGCCGTGCCCCGCAAGAGCCCTGCGCGCCACGCGCGGCACCTTCGGCGCGCGCATGGTCAACGAAGGCGACGGCGAAGTTATCGACGTGGAGCACCTTGGCCTCCTCTGGGCGCGGGGCGACCCCAGGCCGCTTGTCCTGAAGACCCCGGCCACTCTGCAGCGCGCGGCCCATGGCATGGAGGCGGCCCTGCTGGATGAGACCACGGCCCAGCTCCAGCCCATCGGCACGACTGGAAACCTGACCTTCGCCGATCTGGCACCTCGCCCAAGCCCGAGTTGACGACGCAACGCAACTAGAAGATACGGAGTCTTCACGGCGGACAGCGAGAAGCACCTCCGCACCCAGCACGGCAGCTCGCAGTGGTAGAAGCACACCTCCACATGGCCTGCGCAGAAACCCATGCGTTCAGGGCTAGGAAGCTGAATGGCAGCAGGCGGGCCCGCTGAGATGAACGTCGGCGGTTCGCGCGTCAGCGATCAAGCGGAGCTCGTCGCCTCCGCGCCGCGCGATCAACGGGCCCACCTCCCCCCGGGCGTCTCCGGGGTCGAGCTCCACCACGCCAGCGTCGTGCCGCCCTGACATTGCGCGGTCAAAGTCGCGACGGTTCCGCAACAATTGCAGCTAAAGGTAGCGCGGGCTCATCACTGGTACCCCAAGTGGATGCGACCTCAGGGGGGCGTCACAGCAAACCGCGGAGAATCTCCAGCACGTCGCGCAGCGGCGCGGGCACGATCGCGCCGAGTTTGACCGGTCCAGCGCCGCCGCCTGGCAACGAAATCCTGCCCGGCCGGTAGACTGCCCCGCCGCCCTTCGGCTCGGCCTCGCCGTTGCCTGGCCGGGGGCCTCGCAACTTCTCCCACGGAGCACAGGTGCCATGGCGCAGATCTGGGAAGCCCACCGATTTTTGAGCCGGGGCCAAGCGCCCCGGCATTTCTATAGTCCTACCACGAAATGCACTTAGAACCCAAGTGTTCCAAGAACAAAAGCAGTATTCTTAGAACATTGACCGATGTGTTAAACAAAGACAGTCCTGGTCAGAAATGCCCTAAGAACATTTCGCGCGGACCACAAAAAAAGGTTATTAGAACATTGTTCGGTGGGGCTATAGGCGAGCCAGCACGCTTCGCCACTGCTTGAAATTTACGCACTCCGGAGAGGCGGTGGACAGCAGCGCCCCGGGCCTCCGTCAACCCCGCGCCGCGGGCACTCGAGGGCCGCTGACCTCCCAGCGCATTGAAACTGCGAGAACATTCGCGCAACTACCTGTTATGTCAATCGCACTCTGCGCCCCTCCTGGCTGGAGCCGCGGAAAACCCGCGGGGGCTCGAGGTCAGAAGAGCAAATGCGATCCAATGCATGGAGGTCTCGACAAGGCGCATTCCCATCGCCAGGCGGACCACGGGCGCCCCCCCCTGCGATCCGAGGCCGCTCGCCGGGGTGCCCCAGCCGCCCCTGTCGCGACTAAAGTTTTGGAGCCGAGGGTCGCCCCTGGCCCCCGGCTGCGGCCGCCGTGGCAGACGCTGCCTTCGCATGCGCCGCGGCCTTCGCCGCCATGGGTTTCGCCTTGGCGTCGCGAGCGGGTCCGTTGCCCGACGGGGTGGGCAGGGCGGCCCGCGGCTGGGCCGCCGTCGCGCGCGTTGACGGGGCAGGCGCGGCCGCTCTACCAGGCGCGACCTCCTGCGGCAGGAGTGTATCCTCTCTCGCTTTCCTCCTCTCCTGCAAGGCCGCCGCCTCCTTCTGCATGCGCTCGGCGACCATCTCCTTCAGCCCTGGAGCTACGAGAAGGGAGCCCCTCCACTTCTGCTGGCCCAGGAAGATCTCGCGCTCGTCGAGACACCCCGCGCCGTCTGCGCCGACGCCGCCCTCCGCGTCGCGCAGGGCACTGCCTCGCACCTACTCCCACAGCTGGCACATCGTGCACGCCATCTCGTAGAACACAAGGTCGGACACGTAGACTGATCAACCTGGCACCCGACGTACAGGAGATCAGTCAAGAACGCGCGCTCGACCCCTCCAGAGCCCTCGGCTGTCAGCCCGAGGACCTGCTGCCACCAATGATGGTGCTGCGCTGGCGTGTGCCCCAGCTTAAGCAACTGGAGAAGCAGCCAAAAGCAAGTACGCGGGCCGATGATCGACCAGCCAGGGATGGACTCCAGCCCCACATGCCACACCGGGTCCGCGAACGGCCTGCTGTGGTCCATCATGCGTCACCTGATGCCGTACATCGCAAATGACATCCCCGATCTGGCAACCCGCCCTGCTCTCGACGGCGACCCAATCACCGTGCGGGATAGATGGCCCAGCGGCGAGCGGCGTAGGAGGCGCCTGAACCCCGCCAGCGTCAGCCCTCCACAGGAACGTCCGCCAGCGGGGGGGCCTCGATTCCTCGCGCCGGGTCTCCTCAGCGCAGCGCGGGCTGCACGCTCCAGCTCGGGCTGGCATCTCGCGAACTCGTCCATGTCGATCAGCATCACCGTACACGTGCCGATCCCGCCTCGCGGTCCCACAGGCCGCAAGTCCAAGGCGTCCTCGAGCTCCTCGTCGTACAGGTCGCAGTGTGGCGTGCAGATGATCCACCTCGAGCCTACCAGGGGTTCCAGCAGAATTCGTTCGTGACAGTAGTCATCCCCTGGGTCGTAGTAGGCGAGGAGGCGCACGAGGCTCGCCAGCAGGGCGACGGTACTCAATGTGTGGCCGACCTTGGCATCGCGCTCGCCTGCAGCAGTATCAGACTTGCGTTTTCCTGACCTCGCGCCGAAATTCAGGTACAGCTCGCGCGCCAGACT